AGCGATTGGCACCGCACGAAAATGTGAAGGCTCGGTTAACACGGCTATATCTGCCAAGGGTAAGTGACGTGTATACAAAGCAAACACTTGGCTAGCGAATTTGAAGATGGGTTTCGCTATTACTGCGATTGAAGTGAACCTGTTTAGTTGCATGTTGCATTTTCTCTTGGATCATCCGTTATTTGACTTAATTAATTTGTTACTGATAAGTGTTGTTCTATGGTTTTCAGGGTTACAGAACAGGCTACGTTTATAGACAGCCAATTCTCAAACAAGAAATCAGACGGGATCGTTCAAATGAAGTGGCAGAACCTCCCACATCTAGCAACCTATCGCACATGTTTGAAGGCGATTACGAAAATTCACAATACATGTAAGTATATGTCAACCGTTGATTACCGCACGAACATGTCTAACAGCAGTTCTGAAAACTAAAGTAACACTGAACTTGGAAAGTCCGAAGGAAAATCTTGTTTGAGTGGTCGAAGGGGCTATACGTTCTTGTTCTGGTTATTACTGAGCCTTCGACATAGGAGAAACTACTGGTAATGACAGATTTAGTTCTACAATGTGTGTTACTAAAAGCAGTTCTGGTGTTTAACGAATGCATTCATTTATACATTCTTTACATTTTGTCCCATAACACTTACGTAGAATGCGGAAAAAGAATTTCTAAAAGAATTTCTATATCTTGGTATGATGGAAAAATGTTTTTTAGAGAAATATCCCACCTTACGATTTTGTAGACTTGTACATTTATATATGACTGATACTGGTTCCTGTAGGTCCCCATACAAAGTGGCTTTGGAGAAACAGAAGCAACATTACAAGGCTGGCTGGCTCAACTCCCCAAACAACTACATCAAGCAAGAGATGGAAGAGACTGGCACAACAAACCCTAAAAAAATAACTAAGGTATTGAGTTGTAACTTGTCCGACCCCTCCATAGTTTTGAAGTGTGTTTAGACTTTTATGTACATTGATGTTTTATGATTCAAAACACTTGGTACAATGTCCAATATCACTTTCCAAGGTCATGCACCTGTGACCAAGGTTAGATATACAGATTAAGATCGTATCCAAAGGTCACTTATCATGATCCTGATATTACATATTAATGTCATGTGTCAAGGTCACATTAAGACCTTGTACCAAGGTCATGTATCAAGATAGTGCACCAAGGTCACCTATCATGATCATGCACCAGGGTAACATATTAGGGTTACTTACAAATGTGCATAGAAAAAGGAATTTGGGCTGTATATTGACCCGACATTTCATGTTAACCATCCTCAATAGTTTGAATTTGATGTTTTCTGTTAACAGTGGGTACAGGAGGATGAAGAATCTCCAAAGCGAGCGGCCATGTCTATAAAAGTAGAAAACGCTAATCAATTTGCACCACTTGGTGACAATCCTAAGGAATTCAAACTGAGACAAAAACAGGTAATGGCTATCAATGTTGGTGTGTGTCACTACCGTATTTGACCACAAGTAAGCCCCCACTTGCAAATAAGTCCCCTCCCAACTTTTGCAAATGTCCTTTGAACAGGGCGAGTGCCTTCAATTAATCCCCTCCCTACTTTTGGTAAATCTTTTTTCACTAGGGGTGGGGGCTTATTTGCAGATCAATACAGTATCAGTTGAAGGATAGCATGAAAACTTAAAGAGATATTTTAACAAGCTTAGCACGAAAACTTAAAGAGATATTTTAACAAGCTTAGCACAAAACTTAAAGAGATCCCAGTTGTGTTGATAATAGCACTGACTTGTCACAATGTCATCAGTTTAGTAACTGATAAACTAGAATGTTGTTTACCAGGAACATTTTGCCCAGTGTAACTTTCGCCCTACGCTGATAAAACCCATATAATCGTCCTTCACATCTGATACCTATGTTTAATAATGTTTGCTGTAATGATTAATTTACTCGCAATGCGGAGGGTGAAACAGGCAAATGTTTAACTGCAGAGAAAATTTCGCAGTAAACAGTATTACACTGAAACGTGTAGTCAATAAATAAATAACCTATAGTCTTATAGTTGATGATGGAGTTTTTTCAGACAGGTTTTAAGTGTGGATTCTTGCTTCTGTTTAGTTATATTAAGAGCCATCAACGTAGCCAATAGCTATTCTTGAACTGTTTGAACATGTAATTCTAGGACTTCATATCTGACCCAAATTTCATGAAACTGTTTGATACAGATTAGGAAGGATTACTACGAGGAGAAGGTGAACGCTGGACCTCAGTCACGAGTACTGGAAGGCATGACGTGGGAAGAGGCTCAGAAACTCAAGGTAAGTTAGGTTACCTGTTGTATGTTGGAAAGCACCACTAGTGTTAGGACATGCACCCTGGTGGTTGGGTATGCCCCTGTCATACTGGGAAATCACTCCTTGTAAAAGGAC